GGATTATCCCACTCACAGATGAGCTCTGGGCGGGGAAGGAAGCAGGGTGCCCAGGGGTGTGCCGCTTGAGTGCGGGCAGGAGGCTTGGACCAGGTCTGTGTGGCTCTAGAGCCCCAGCTTTTAACCTGCCTCGGCCGGCAGGCGGCACAACTCTCAAGAGGATATTCCCATGTGGGACTATGCGGGACCAGGGCACCCAGCTTCAGGGAGGGCAGCGGGGCCTCCTTTGCATTCCTTGGGATGCCCCGAAGGCCCAGAGCAGACTGCCCTTGCTCACGGGCCCCCCAAACCCCTCAAATCCAAATTCTGCTCTTCGGGGGCCAGGGCTGGCTGCTATGGGAAGCAGGCAAGATGGCTCTGGGGACACTGGGAGGGGAGAAGAATCCATTTCTACCAACTGAGCAGAGTCCCTGCTAGGGTGGCCCCCGGGGAAGCCAAGTGAGGGGGAAGAGACAGGCTTGAGGGTAGTGGAGGTGAGGGAGGGGAGCCCTGAGCCCCAGCTTCAATTTCATTACTGCCCCTGGATGCTCCCAAGTGATATCCTTCGGTTTGAGCAGGATTCAGTAGCTTCCTGCTCCTCAGAGCCAAGCACACCCCAACACGACAGTCCCTCCTGGAGAGACGATCAAACCCAGCTTGCAGACCCTTCAAAGCCTAGTGCAGGGGTCCCCTGTGGTTACCCTTCACCTTCTCTCTAGCCTGGCCTGAGACCTGTCACAGACTGTCCCCCCAGTATGGGAGGGGCCTGTGGCTTCCTAAGACTGAGTCTCAGGGGGCAGGAAGGTAGCAGGATGGTGCAGTGGCAAGTGTCAGGCACTGGGGTCAATAGCTGAGGATCTCAGTTCTGCCATCTACGGGCTGTGTGTGACCTGAGGCAAGCCACTGACCTGGGTCTCCACCCCTGTGCCGCAGGCTTGTTAAAGGAGAGCCATGGGTCCCAATCCTCCCCTAAGTGGCCCTCGCCATGATTAAGGAACAAGCGCTTGGGGGTTCTGGGTATAGACATTCCACCTTGAAAACGTGGGGCTGGATTTGCATTTGGCTTCCTGATACCCCCATGTTTGTTTTAATATAAAAGAATGTTTTAAATCACCTATTTTTCCTCCCTATTTGGACCCTAAATATGTGAAGCTGGTGCTCTAGGAAAAAACACATGTTTAATCTGCAGCTTGGAGGACTTTGAATGTGTCACTGTGTCCTCCCAGGCACGTGGACCCAGACCTGGGGTAGTACCCTGACTGTGCCTTGGTGAAAGGCAGGGAATGAGACTCTAGCTCCTGGGTCCTGGCCTCCAGTTGAATCGGGGTTCTTCCATGTGACCATAACAATCACAGAAGCCCCCAATTTTCAGTATTTTAATGGAGGAGCCGGGAGGCCACCCCAAGGCCAGGTCTGGGTGTCCCCTAACCAGCGTCTTGTTTGTGACCGTGGGTGAGTCACTTTCCCTTTTTGAGCATCAGCTTCCTTATATGCAAAGCAGAGATGAAAACAAAAGTATCAACAACCTCATAGATTTGTGCAAGACAGTGTCTAGCAAGTAGGTGCTCAAGAAGTAGTATCGATGTTGCCACTGCCGGCACGCCTCCAATGCCCAGGAGGTAGCTCAGGCACCCTCCTCTCGTGCTCTGGCCATATCTCCCCCTTCTCCACTCCCTGCCCTTGCACTCTCTCTTGAGACATGTGGCACCAGGACACTGCAGCATGTGTACAGACAATGGTTTAATCATATCGGCAGCCCCGCTGTGGCCTCGCCAGCTACCATGCCACAACCAGCTCTGGGGCCACCGCCCAGACAGCAGAGTGGAGAGCTGGGGTCAGGGCTGCAGTCTCTGGACCACACAGACCTCGAAGGAACAGGCGGTACTCACAACGCCAGCAGCCTGTAGACTTCTTCTCTTCCTTCTGCCGAGGAGTCTGAGATGCTTCATGCCCTTCAGACCATGGGGTGGCCTTCACGGGAGGCCTGTGGGGCCAGGCTGGCCAGACCTGGGCTGATAGAGTCCCAGGGAAGGTGCTTGGCTCTCTGCTCCAGGCTGGGCCATGGCTTAGGACCCTTGCAGGGATAGTGGCTGGGGCAGCCTGGGAGACATTGCTCTAAGTACATAGGAAGTGACAGCAGTGTCAGTCAAGTGCCTATTCCAGGGACATCAGAAGGGAGGGTAGAAGCCCAGGGAGTGCGCAAGGCTGCTGGGTGAGGGCACCCAGGGGCTACCAGCGAACCAGCCTCAGCTCAATGGTTTCTCCATCCTTGGGTCTGTAGTCAGCAATACCTGAAGAAGCAGATTGAGCAAGAGAGGTTACCAGGCAGTGTCCTGTGTCCCACCCCCAACCTCATCTTCTGGACTCCCACCCTGAGGCCAGGGCCTGCTAGATCCACTCAGCCTTGGTGGTGGGGAGCTGGGAGCTGTCCAGAGCCAGCCAGGAGGCTCTGAACTCAGTGTCCTTGTGGTCCCTGAGGCCACAGGCTCATCTTTCACTGGGGGAGCCTCCAGAGGGTGGGGGTACAAGACAACATGCTGGATGACAAACATAAGGTGAAAGGAAGCAGGAACCCTGATAACACCTGACAGGCAGGGTCACTGTCTTCGTAACACCCAAGGGGCCGCGAGGAAGAGGGACTTGCTCAGTGTGGGCCAGAGGGAGAAGCAGGACCACGAGTGAAGTGTCCCAGGAGTCAGCCCTCGCTCACCAGAAAGAATCCGGGCTCTAGCAAGGAAACTGGGTTTAAGCCCCAGCTCTGTCACTCCTTGGCGTGTGACTTTGGACTAGTTATTTGACCTCTGTGAGTGCCAGTATTCTCACTGGAGAAACAGGGCTGCAACCTGCAGGGGAGTTGACAGCGTCCTCTGAGACGGCCCAGGTGTCAGGAATATTTCCTCTCAATGGAGGTGCTATGGTCTGAATGTCTGTGTCCCCTCAAACTTCATACATTGAAACCTAACCCCAAGGTGATGGCATTAGGAGATGGTGCTTTGGGAGATGATTAAGTCACGAAGGTGCGGCTCTTATACAAGAGGCCCCAGAGAGTTGCCTTGTCCCTTGCACCATGTGAGGACACAGCTAGAAGGCATCATCTGTGAGCCAGAAAGTGAGCCCTTACCAGACACCAAATCTGTCAGTGTCCTGATCTTGGACTTCCCAGCCTCCAGAATTACGAGAAGTAAGTTTGTGTTGTTTGTAAGTTACCTAGTTTATAGTAGTTTGTTATCACAGCCTGAATGGACTAAGACAAGAGGGAGCCCAATTACTATAACTCCCAGCCACTTTCTATCCCAAGGAAGGCAGAGGAGTGACTTATGCGATTGGTTAATTTGGGGAAGCATTTTGGCATGTGCGGCCCAGGCTTTTTCTTCTCGTGGGAGTGGCTTCCTGCTGGACTAGGGGCGTGGAGCGGGTGGGAGGTAGAGGCTTCAACTGCCCGGGTCTGCTTCCCGGCTGAGTCCCCCTGACTCTCACCCTAAGCTACGTCCTCAGTCTTTATCAGTAATAGAGCAGGCCAGATTTGGGGTCTCCGCCTCCAGCCCTTTTGCTTTATTTCTCAATTTATTCTGAATAAGGGCAGGAAAAAAGAATGCTTTTTATTGGGCTCCTTGAGAAAAGTCCCATCTTCTATAAAGCACATGGCACAATGCCTGCCACATGGCAAGTGCCTCCTAAAAGGTCCTTGAGGGTGTTGTAAAAGGAACTTAAGTAGCAAGAGTAGGGACAGATGGATGACCTTTAAGAGTCTGTGCGGTAACTGGGCTGATGCATAAGGGTGCTCATCGCAGCTTGGGGCATAAATGCTAAAACTGGAAATATTCTAAAAAAGAAGAGAACAGACCCAAAGGAGTCATAGGGAAGCAAAGCTGGAGCCCTGAAATCCCTAAAATTACAACACCCCTGAAATCCTCACTACCTCTGGACTTCTGAGCACCCGAACCAATGGATGTCATATCACTGAAGCTAGTTTGCATTGTATTTCCTGTTACTTGCAGCCCAGGGCAACTTAATGAATGATATCCTGTGTGGCTATTACGAAGAAAGAGGAAGATCTGCATAAACCAAGATAGAAAGATGTCTACAACATATTAAGAATGAAAAAAACAAAGTTGAAAAACAGTATGTAGAGCTGCACTGTCCAATATGCTTGTCACTAGTCACATATGGCAACTGAGCACTTGAAATCTTAGTATCAAAAAAAAGCAGGTAAAATATGTCATTGCTAGTTTGACATTGATTATATCTTGGAATGATAATGTTTTGGGTATTTTGGGTTAAATAAGATACATTATTAATATTATCTCATCAACTAGACAATTTAATATTATATATGTGGGCAACATATTATTTCCATTGAACAGCATTGATATAGAATATGGCTCCACTGTTTTGTTTTTTTTTTTTTTTTGAGACAGAGTTTCACTCTGTTGCCCTGGGTAGAGTGTGGTGGTGTCGTAGCTCACTGCAGCCTCAAACTCTCAAACTCCTGGGCTCAAGTGATCCTCCTGCCTCGGCCTCCTGAGTAGCTAGGACTACAGGCATGTGCCACCAGGCCCAGCTAATTTTTTCTATTTTTAGTAGAGACGGGGCTCTCACTCTTGCTCAGGCCGGTCTCGAATTCCTGAGCTCAACTAATCCTCCCGCCTCGGCCTCCCAGAGCACTAGGATTACGGGCATGAACCACCATGCCTGGCCACGGCTCCATTTTTTATGAAAAAACAAACTTACCTATTTTAAAGTATCTGGAAGCGATTATACCAAAAGTTAAAAGTAGTTATTTCTAGGTAGTAAATTATAGGTGATTTTAATTTTCTTCTTTTATAACTATCTGATCCTAAAGTTATCATAACTTACATAAAAATTCTAAGAAGTCAGTTAAATAAATTATATGCAATCTTGAGCATCAAGAATTTTATAAAGCTGTGGCTCAGGAAGGTTCGGGGGAAAGCTGGGGTGAGCTGATGAGGCCTCATAGCTTGGTAAGGTTGGGGTGGGGGACATGTCCATGGGTGGCAGGCCACCAGTCTCACCTTGCAGCAGAGGTGTGTCAGGGTCTCGGAGGAGTTGCCAGAACTCACGTTCCCCGACCTCATTCCCCATCACGGAGGTCAAGTAGGGGCCTGACAAGGAGGCCTGTGTTTCGTATCTACAAAAGGAAAGGCAAAGACAGAAGAGGTGACTGCTGTTCCAGTACCAGCAAAGTCCTACCCCGCCATTCCTGGGCCAACTCACCATGGGTCTGTGGGGCTCACCTCCACCCCTCTCCTCTCTAGCCCCCTGATACTGCCCGCTCAGGCTTCATCTTCTCCACATTGACCATGACCATGGCCTCCAGGAAGGGGTATCTATTACATTTTCAATGCAGCAGCTGTCCCCTGTCTGGAGACTCATGTTGTGGGGGGCAAGGGTCAGAAGCTGCCAATGTGCCATGAAAGAGGGCAATGCCCGCATGTAGAGAGATGCGGGGAAGCGGGAGGTGGAGACAGAGACACCTAGTGGTGGCACTGGGTCTCGGTGGCTCGGTGGCATTCCCCTCTTTTTGGGGCTGGGGAGTTCCGTCTTCTCTCTGACTTTGTACACTCCACACCCCACTGTGGAGAGAGTTGATGTTTGATTTCTGGCCCTGACAACCAAAGACTCCTTATCCACACTCCCCCTTCCCTGAGCGCCTCGCCTCCAACTCAGCCTTTCTCCAACCTGTCTGGATGTCACTGCCAAAGGGATCCTCGCGAAACTCCGTAGGCCATGTCCTTCCTCCTTCCAAAGGGAGGAAGCAGCATGAAGCAGGGCTTCCTCTAAGACAGGGGCTTGAGGAGGTGAGTAGGATTTGCTAAGGGAGAAGGGAGGGCAAAGCCGAGAGGAGGGGTAAGAACGAAGGCACAGAGGTACACAGAATTGGGGGGACTGTGGGGGAATTTTAGGGAATGGTCTTACAGAAGTGAGGGGTCTGGGAGAATGAGCAGGAGTGGTGGCAGGAAGACGATCAAAAAGGAGGTGAGATCGTCAGAGGTAACAGGGGAGTGATGTGAACAAATGTAAGTTCTACAAAAAGCCCTCTGGGGTGCTGTGTTATCAATAGTTTTGGTCTTAGAGGAAGGCATTTTTTTTAGTTTTAAGAAAAAGAAACCCGGCCGGGCACGGTGGCTCACGCCTGTAATCCTAGCACTCTGGGAGGCTGAGGTGGGCGGATTGCTTGAGCTCAGGAGTTCAAGACTAGCCCGAGCAAGAGCGAGACCCCGTCTCTACTATAAATAGAAAGAAATTAGCCAAACAACTAAAAATAGAAAAAAATTATCCAGGCATGGTGGCACGTGCCTGTAGACCCAGCTACCTGGGAGGCTGAGGCAGGAGGATCACTTGAGCACAGGAGTTTGAGGTTGCTGTGAGCTGGGCTGATGCCATGGCACTCTAGCCCAGGCAACAGAGTGAGACTCTGTCTGAAAAAAAAAAAAGAAAAAGAAAAAGAAACCCACACAGGGTGACTTAGGCAAAGGGAAAGTATTGCTTCAGGGAATGTCCCAGAACAGCCCTTTTCCCGTTCCTTAACGCTCGGGGTACATGTGGCTGCTGGGGACTACTTCTCTCCACATCTGTCTGTCTGTCTCTCTCTCTGCTGTGCATACATGGACCTCAAACATGGCCTTCCTGCTGGGCACCCACTGGCACCAGCAGGGAACTATTTCTCAGACTGGTGTCCGCGATGTCTTCCCAGGGGTCCTTGAACTCTGAATAAAAACATTAAATTCTGTTATTTTTCACTGTGATGACAATATCCAAACATGTGTACCAGCAGGTTCTGGGTAATCTCTATGTGTGCGAGGCTGAACCCTGCCAAGGGTGCTCAGTCTGTGTGTGGCCGTCTATGACTATGGTGTGTGTTGCTCTATGTTCTGCAGGCGACCAGAAAGAGAAAGAAGGTGGCCTTCATAGTGGACGGAGTGCCTGGGGCCGGGAGAAGAACACTCGGGCTCGACAGTGGCTCAAATACAGGGGAGTGCTGAAGCACAGGGCTCACCCAGTGCCTGGCAGCGTACGCCTGCGTCTTCGCAGACAGTGAGTGCTCAGTTGAATGTTATTGGGTTTTATATTTTTCTTTATACTAAATTTGCAATTGTTCAGAATTTATAGCTGTCTAAAGCTAGAAAGAAAAGACTTTCTATTTAGTGAACATATTAGCACACATCTAAGTCATATTATAGAAGAAGGAACTTAACCTGGGGTCTGGGAGCAGTTTTGTCCTTCAAAGGAGTCACTGCATATCTCTGGTCTGAGATTTCCTGGCCTAGATGACCCCAAGGTGCCAGCAGTGGGCTTTTCCTGGTTGCAGGACATTGCTCTCTGGGAACTCATAGAAACTGGGGCCCTCTCAAACCAAGACACATCATTCTAGGGGAAAGGTCTGGGGTCTGTGTGACCTGCTGGAAGGCACTCAAGTTCTCTGGGCCAGATTCTTCATTGGTAACAAGGGGATCACGTCTGTCTTATTTAGGCATGGACAGGGCCTGGCATCGCACAGCGCTCTGGACACGCCCATCCTCAGACTTGACTAATCTCAGGGTAAGAAGCAAGTTTTATACTGTCTCACCCCCTTGGGGTAATCAATAACAGGATTGGACCAAGATTTGATAATCAGAGTTCTTATTCCGATTAAAGCAAACGTGTATTGAGCACTTGCTACGTACTGGACCCTGCACACATAAAAAGCATGTGCCACCATCTCTATGTACATACACTCACTCCTGGAGTCCTCGAGTTGGCCCTGTGAGGAGGGGGCACAGTGGGTGTCCTCACTGAGTTGCAGGTAAGTAACTGGTTCTGGGTCCCTAGTTGGAGAACGGCTGAGCTGGGATTCCAGTTGGGGGCTCCACTTCCAGAGCCTGCTCTCTTACTGACCGTGGTGGCCCACGCCTCCCTGTGTCCATGACAATGTGGGCAAGAAAGGAGTAAAGAAGGTAGAAGCAGAAGCTGGGCCAGTGCCTCTCCCGAGGGAACCCGGCCTCTGTCCATTGTCCCTTTCATGACCCTGTGTCAGGAAGGTGGGGTCTGGTGAGGGCTGGGAGGTGGGGGTCTCACGTGAATCCTCCTAGCTCGCGGGCCATCTTCAGGACATCTTCCAAGGAGGACCCAGCAAGGACAAAGATGGATTGTTTGTACGGCGGAAAGATGCTGAGGACCTTTAGCGTGACGCTGATGATCTCTGAGGTCAGTGAAAAGGTCTCTGTGGCTGGTCCCAACATAACTGTGTTGGGGAGAAAGGAAGGGGCAGCTGGCATGAGGACACGGAGCCTGGACGTTAGTCCTCCTGTCTTTCCTCAAAGACACTGTGGCCACTGGACCTTGTCCCTCCCATGTTCTCATCTCAGTCAATGCCACCAGTACCTGCTCAGCTGAAACCTGGCTGCCATCCCAGCCTCCCCTGCCCCTCAGCCCTCATGTCCCCTCATGACCATAGGCCACCCAAAGTCAGGCCCCTTACTGGTTTCTCTGCCTCCAGTATCCCTGCTCCCCGCTATCTGCCACAAAGCACCCCAGACAGCTCTTTCTAGATCATGCATTTGTTCACATCACTCCCATTGCCTCTGACAATCCCCACCCCCTTTTCATTCATATGCCTGAGGCTCCTGCTCATTCCCCAAGACCCCACTCTTCTGCAAGACCATCGCCCCAACTCCCTCAAATTCTGTGCACCTCTGTGCCTTTGTTCTTGGCTCTGCTCTCCCTTCTCCTTTCTCCACTGGAAAATGCCACTCGCCTTGTCGACCCCTCTCCCAGATGAAGCCCTGATTCATGCTGCTGTTGGGGCTCACCATGTTGGGTCAGAGTTACCATAATGCGCCCCTCCCCATTCATTCATTCATTCATCCATTCGTTCATTCAAACATTTCTGTACTGGGTGTCATACAAGGCGCCCACCCAGAGCTCTCCATTTGGTGTCTTCCTCTCCAGACTGTGAGCTGCTAGAAGCGCTGACCACATTTTAGCTGCTGTTTTCCATGCACACCTACAAACTCGTGCTGACTTGGCAAATTGGGACCCAGCAAACCTCCCCTCACTGGGACATGCAGATGTCAATGAGCACTCAGCAGATTGGAAAGGGCTGTGCCTCTGTGAAAGGCTCGGCTACCTCGTGGTGCCAGGCAGTCTGGGGAGATGAGATCAATGTATGTCTTGTGGTTCAGGACGGGCAGCAGCTGGGAAATCACGAGAGTGTTCTGGAAGACCTCGTTTTGCAGGCTGGCCAACAGAGCAGCCTTTGCCTTGAGGCACGCTGTGCCCAGCTCCAAATAGGACGTGGAGGACGCCATCAGCATCTGGTGACAGAGTGAGGAAGAGAGGGGGAAGGTGGGTCAGCCGGCAGGGAGAAACCAAGTCTTCCAGTCCCTGACCAGTGCACCCGACTGACCCCCAGGGTGGCCACCGCTCCAGGGTCTCTTTCCCACCTGCAGTGCCAGTGGGGTGCTGTAGACATTCCCAAAGTGGCCCTCGGGGGTCTGGGCCTTCAGGATCTTCTCTTGGACTGTCCCAATGGCCGTGGTGATCTGTAGTCTCAGACTGGGGTTGAAGTGGGAGCGCTCCAGACAGGTGAAGGCCAAGCCTGCCATGGCCACTGTGTCTGTGGGAAACAGGACATGTGATGGGCTGGGGAGCCAAGGGGGCCAGGCCGGGCAGGGCCTCAGGGGTCAGGCTGTTGGGGCAATGGGCAGCCACCAGAGAGTTTGAAGAAGGGGGCAACATGGTGAGATCAGCTAGAGTTTACAACTCAGCCCACTTTGCCCAGAACTCTCCCAGTCTGGACACTGAAAGTCCTATGTCCCAGGAAACCACTCAGTCCTGGGGAAATTGGGTGAGTGGGTCACTCCACTCCTTGGGGGGCTAGAGGTTAGGGAGAGAGACCAGAGGATGGAGGCTCATGAGGACTTGACCCCACACCACTTGTTCCCAAACCTGGCTGCACATTGGAATTACCAGGAGAGTTTTAAACCAACCAATGCTTGGGTCCACCCCCCGGGAGTGTGGTTTCATTGGTACATTGAAACCCCAGGTTTCCTGCCCCTCAAGGTCCCCCAGGAGATTTTACTGTGTCCACAGTGGTTTTTCCACAAGCTTCTGAGGCAGAACAAACTCCCTCCTTGCAGGGGCTCTGCTGCCTTCTTCTCTATGGACACCTAACCCCCAACCTACCACATCCTACCCCTACGTGACATTCACTTATGGAATGCCAGGCCTAGAAGAAATTTTGAATCACAAGGATAAGAAATGGAAACAGAGGCCCAAGGCCACTCAGTGAGGAAGCAGGTCCAGAATCCAGGTCCCAGGCTTTCTAGCTCCTAGGATGCTGAGGTCATAGCTACGTACCCAGGGCTGTCTCTGTGCCAGGCACGTGCTAAGCCTTTTACTTGTAAAGGCATCCTTTATGGAGATGCTGCTGGGAGGTCATCTTATAGGAGAAGCTGAGCCAGAAAGGCCACCTGACTTGCCCAGGGGGCCCTACGATGAGTGTGTGATGGAGCTGGGGTCAGCTTCCCCATCCAGCTCCAAAGCTGGCTCATAGTTGCTGCCCCACGCCCAAGCCCTCACCACGTCACTCCTAAAGGATTCGATAAAGAAGGGTCCCAAGAAAAGGTGAGTGTGGGGCCAGGGCGTGGAGGCCTTCAGTGGGGACTGGGTGCTTAGGGAATGCCAGGCTAGCACCTGCCAGGGTCTGGCCCACTCACCTACAGAGAGGTGGCCCTGGTGGAGATGTTGTTCGTGTTTCACAGCATATAGGAGCTTGTCCACCACGTTGTTATGAACCCGCTTCTGGTGGACACACAGGGCCAGGATGGCCAGGCCGTACTGGTAGTAGCTGGTGTGGGGGTGACCCTTGTGCCCTGGGAGGTGGGGAGAAAGCCAAGGGGTGGGGCTTGAGGAGTTGCCTCTCTATCTCCTCCCCACAACCAGCACCCCCAGCACACAGGACCCCATTGCCTGCTCTTCCCAGCACTCTCCTTTGGGTCATGGGATCCTTCATTTCCTTCATTGCCTGACCCACATTTGCTGAGGCCACACTAAGTGTCAGGCACTGTGCTTGGAGGAAGGAGTAGAGGGTGGCAGCCAGGCACTGTGCAGATGGGGCTTTGACCATGATGAACTCTTGCTCAAGAGAGCACTATTATAACTGAAAGGTGGAACGAAGTCCGTGGAGCCATACAACAGAGGTCTCTGGGCATCTAGGAGGGGGATCAGGGCAGGATTCCTCAAAGAAGCGATGCTGGGGGCTGTGGGGAGAGCCAAGGGTGGAGCAGGAGTGAACCAGAAGGTGGGGGCAGCCAGTCCAGATGGAGGGAACACATTTGAGGCCCCTGGCTTGTGAGCTGAGAGCAGGCCGGTATGGCCAGAGCCTATGGAGGGCAGGCAAGTGTGAGAACCAGAGAGATGGTGAGCAGAGCCTGGAGAGGAGGAAAGGGCGGACTGGCCAGGCCTGAGTGCTGTGTACGGAGTAGTGAGGGCCCCTGCAGGGTTTAAGCAATGCTAACAAGAACAGATTTATATGGAAAAGGCTCACCCCGGCTGTTGTGTGCTGGGTCAAGTTAGGAGGCAGGAAAGTTAGCAGAGACAGACTAAGGAGTAAGTAGTAAGGAGGCTGTGCGGTTAGTTGTCCCAGGTGGATAGTTAGGTCAATCTTGGCGGCTGAGCATCAGGCCTTGCCAACATGGAGTACAGGAAAGGCTGGATCAAGGATGCTACTGAGGCAGGCCCAAACCTCCAGGTGGACAGTGAGGTGGACAGAATGGAAGGTGGGAAGAGGCCTGGGGAGAAAACCCAAAGTTCTGATTTTCACGAGAGAATGTCATCTGATGAGCCCTCCCAGCTGCTCCCCACCGCCAGAAGATGGTGTCCCCTCACCAATGGCCCTCTTCTCGTCCTCTAGGAACCGCTTGAGCTGTGAGACCAGCCTGTCACCCTTGTGGCTCCCGGCAAACTCGCAGTTAGCCCTGAGAGCGAGCAGGTAGAGGGCCAGCTGGCCCATGGAAGGCTTGGCCTGGCAGTGACTGTTGTGACCGCTGGAGGCAGACCTAGGACAAGGCCAGTTAACAACATCTTTGTGAGAAAGTGTCACCCGGGTAAGCCTTGCTTGGGGGATGCCCCCCACCAACATCACAAAGTGGAAAAAATCCTTATAGTTGGCAACTTTGCTAGAACTGCCGAAAGTCAATGTGTTAGCTATGTTGGTGTGAGGTGTATGACACAAACTTTTAATAAAGAGGAAAGATTAAACTCAAGGATAAACTCTGAAGGCTCCTGCATCCAAATCACCTGTGTCTGCACCACCTTTTCGGCCATGTTTCGACCACTGGCTCTCCCCTTTCCCTCCTCTTCCTGCCCCATAGCCACTTCTCAAGAGGGAGTCCAAGCAGGAGGCACTCCAGGGCTGCTTCTGATTCTCCATCTCTCATTCAAATCCCAGAACAGGCCTCTCCTTAATGCCCCTTGGAAAGGGAGCTCAGAAAGATGCTGCTTCTGGGCTCCGTATGAAAGAGTGCAGTCATAGATTAGTGATGTTTGCTTCAGGCACAGGAGGGGGCAATATCGGTATGAGAGCCCTGCGTTAGCACCCCTGATTTAGTCCAACCAACCCCTTCAATCTGCAGGTGGAGAAAGGCCCAGAGGAGACAAAATTTGCCTAAGGCCTGCCAACAAAGCAGTGACAGACCCAAACCAGAATCCAGGTCTCCTGTCTCTTAAGATGTGGAGCAAAACATGGGGAAAGAAGAGAGTGTGGCAATACCCCAGGAGGCACTGCTGGTAATTGAGCTTGAGGCTGTGCAAGTAGAGGTTCTCCTTGGTTCCAGCCTGCCAGCTGGAGAGGCGTAGGCCCACGTAGATGCTGGGGTTCAGGTGCTCCAGGGAGAGCCTGTCCATCCAAGGCAAGAGGCGCTGGCCCAGCTTCTCTACCAGCTGGCTATCCACCTCTGGTATTTCTTAGGAAAGAAAATGGTGCAAGTGAGGTCGCAGGGCAAGCCCACCAGCAGGGAATTGCTTTGACTTTACCAGGATCTTCCCCAGGGAACGCACATCTCTATCCCCACCTCCACCCAGCATGCACCCCACTTGTAGCAGGAAGTGCAGCCATACTGAAAGGCAGTGCAATGGTAATGCAGGTATCCCAAAAGAGCAGTTGGAGTGAGCCAAGGAGAAGTGGTGGGCTGAGGACACAGGATGCTGTTGCCAGGCAACCACTCCGCCCATCAGAGGTGACAAAGAGACTGGATGCCAAATTGTGGGGTGTGTCCCAAGCACCGCGCCCAGTCTCACTTGGTCCTTGTGCCAGTCCTGTGATGTAGCTACTGTCATCATCACTTTGCACAAAAGAAGAAACAGAAGTTCAAAGTTGTGTTGTGTCTTACACAACGCTGCAGAGTCAAGGACAGACCTGACTATAAAGGGCCCTGCTCTTTGGCGCCCTGCTGAACGTGTGTTCTACCCCTTAACAAAAACGTCAGCCCACACGCAGAACATGTTCCACATCTGATTTTCAACCGCTGCAGACTGCCAACTGGTTAATTGGGGTTGCCTGGTGAAATAGCCTCCATGCATACCTCAAAATAACTCTTTTCCTGCCATCTCTGTTTAAGTGAAGAGCCTAAGATGGTAGGTGAGCTCTTAGAAAACAGTCACAGCTTGCAGCCATTTACCTGTGTGCTGTGGGATTGGTTTGAAGCTGTGCAACAAAAATGCTGAAATAGCCTGGAAGCAGAAGTCTCAGGGATATTTCCCAACTCCAGCTGAGCGATGCCTGCCTGCCCTGAGGGGCAGGGACCTGAGCTCAGCACAGGGTTGGTTGCCTTGGAGGCACTTTGAGCTTTTTGTCCCTATTTACTGCCTCTCAGTTGCTGCTGGGCTCCAGCTGCCCAGTGGTGGCCTCCATGGTGCCACATCCCAGGGGACTAAGGAAGGGTACCATGGTACAGAGTGTTTCACCTGCCTCCTGGGCCTCCTGGCGTGAGGACCAATGTTCCTGGAGCACAGCCCTGTCTCTCTCCAGGTTTCCAAAAAGTCATGGATAACTGTTGCTATAAGGTGACCACTGACTGCCATGAAACCCTGTATAATCCTTCGCTGTGAACACATGGCTGGTTTCTCGCCAAGTGTTAGTTAAGAGAAACTGAGGGGTTGCTTCTCTTTTCCCTTTGTCTCACTCAGAGCCTTGCTTTTTTTTTCCCCCAGAGATAGGGTCTCGCTCTGTTGCCCAGGTTAGAGTGCAGTGGCACAATCATAGCTCACTACAACCTTGATCTCCTGCGCTCAAGTGATCCTCCCGCCTCAGCCTCCCAAGCAGCTGGGACTACAGGTGCATGCCACCACACCTGGCTAAATTTTAAAATTTCTATTAGAGATGAGAGTATTGCTGTGTTGCCCAGACTGGTGTCGAACTCCCAACCTCAAGGGATCCTCCCACCTCAGCCTCTCGAATTGCTCGGATTACAGGCATGAGCAACTGCACCCAGCTCACTCAGAGCCTTTCTTTTGTCTGTCTCCATGTCTGTAGGTCTCTATCTCTTGGCCTCTGAGGCTCTCTGGATCTATCTCAGTCTTTCCCAGCCTCTGTGTCTCTGGTCATCTGTCCCTCCTCACCTCTCTTTCCCTGTCCCTTTTCTTGAAACTGGTAAGGGAGCCCCTGGGCTGTGACCTCCAGCACGATGAGTCAAGACAGGCTTAAGTGATAAAATGAGGAGGAGGCAGCTGTAAAGGGAGGCTGATAACCACAATTCAACCTCCTTGCAGGAAGGAGCCAGGCAGATTCACCCAGGGTAATAAAAGTAGCTTTGGGCGAGTTCTCTCCCCACAGGCCCAGCCCTGCCAGCTGGGACTGAGTGGCACTGACATTCAGGAACACAAGAGCCCACCTTTCACTAGCCTTAGTGCAGCAATCCCTGGCAATTTCATAACCTTACAGAGCTTTAAGCTGGGAAAGCAGGAATTATACCATGGGATCCTGTGTCACACTCCACCAAGGAGGAAGGCAGGGGAGTATTCTTAGCCCAGGTGAGGGAATGAGACTGGGTGTGCTTCATGACTCAGCAGCAGACCCCAGGCCCCATTTGAAGGTTCTCCACACCCTGAAGGAAGGGGGCTCTTGTGGGGTGAGGCTAATGGGCTAACTGCCCAAGGCTGAGGACTGGGCCTGCCAGGTCTGCAGGAGGGAAAGCTCTGGCTGGTCAAACCCAGGTCTCTCCTGGGGACTGTCTGGACAAGAACCAAGAGCCAGGGCTGAGGGGTGATTGCACCTGTAGAACATAGGCCAAAGGCTTCTGGTGCCCAGGAAGACCCTAGCTTGGAGTTCTAAGAACTGAGTTTGACAAAACTCTGGTAAAGCTGGAGCACCTTGAGCAGGTCATCTGGCCCTTCCAACCCTTGGCTTCCTCATCTGACACTTGGAGATGACCACACCTGCCTCTCAGGTTTCCCGAGGATCACAAGAGAGCATGGTGGTGAACGCAGCCCTGCGTGCAGAGCGCAAGGAGGGAAGAAGGGATATGGGTAGCCCAGAGTCCTGAAGCCCTCTGCTCCCTGCTCCCTGCCTGGCTCCAGAGCATGAGTGGCCCTCAGCCTGTACACTCAGACTCTCAGGTCCTGAGCAGTCCCAAGAAGCCCCCTGAGGTGCAGCTGTGGGACATGGAGCCAGAGCGGACAGGGCCTCCAAATCTCCCTTCCCTGTGCCTGGAATGCTTGTCCCCCACTCCTTTCCTCACCAGCTCCTTTTCTTCCTTTGGGACTCAGCTCTCACGTGGCCTCCTGGTCCTCGGAAATCCTGCCTCAGCCTCCCTTCCTGAATCAGCGCCTCCTGCTTGGCTTCCTTTTCAACAATCACCGCAGCCCAGTGCGTCACTTGATTTCTTTTGTCTGTCTCCTTCACTAGAACATAAGCTCTAGGAGGGCAGGGATTGGACTTGTCTTGCTCTTCGTTCTTTCCCCAAAGTCTAACACTGGGCCTGGCACAGAAAAGGCTTAGTAAATATGTGTTAAATGAATAAATGAACGAATGACTGAATTAATGGAGGAGATCTTGTGTGGTGAGGAGTCAGACGTATTAATCTCAATACAACATGCTGGCCAGGCGTGGTGGCTCATGCCTGTAATCCTAGCACTCTGGGAGGCCAAGGCGGGAGGATCGCTTGAGCTCAGGAGTTTGAGATCAGCCTGAGCAAGAGCAAGACCCCATCTCGGCCAGGCGCGGTGGCTCATGCCTGTAATCCTAGCACTCTGGGAGGCCGAGGCGGGTGGATCGCTCAACGTCAGGAGTTCG